TTCTCACCTGAGTGTGTCCTCTGGTGTCTGATAAGATTCGATGTCTTGGCAAAGCCTCGCCCACACTCCTTGCACACACGTGGCTTCTCCCCCGAGTGTGTCCTGCAGTGCACAAGGAGGTCTGATTTCTGTTTAAACCCTCGACCACATTCCTTGCACACATAAGGCTTCTCCCCTGAATGTGTCCTCTGGTGTATGATGAGATGTGATTTGCAGTTAAAGCGCCGCCCACACTCCAGGCACAAGTAAGGTTTCTCCCCTGAATGTGTCCTCTGGTGCCTGATGAGATGTGATTTACGGTTAAAGCCTCTCCCACACTCAAGGCACAAGTAAGGTTTTTCACCTGAGTGTGTCCTCTGGTGTGCGATGAGATTTGATTTGTTGCTAAACGCTCTCCCACACTCCTTGCACACATATGGCTTCTCCCCCGTGTGTGTCCTCTGGTGAATAAGGAAGACTGATTTCTGGTTAAATCCTCGGCTACACTCACTGCACACATAACGCTGCTCCACTAAGTGTGTCTTCCGGTGTGTAAAAAGAAGTGATTTCTGGTGAAAACCTCGGCCACACTCACTACAAACATAGGGCTTCTCCTGTAAGAGGGACCTCTGGTATGTGATGAAGTCCGACTTCATGCCACCGTCTGGTTCATCCTCTCTAGAGCTGACTGTTCCATATCTTGAGGTTTCTAATTCCTTCAACCCTTGGCCTCTTTCCACAGACTTTACTCTTTGGGCTGAGTTGGGCTCTACCCCTATCTCTGTGTTGCCTTCTCTAGGGCTTGCTGACTGTGTTTGGGGTGGGCTGGAGAACGCCCTGGAAGTCCCTCTCTCCCCTCTTCTCCCACACAAGGGTCTGGAGACTTCTCTCTCTTGATCTTCTGTGTTTTCCCTCCAGCAGCTCTGATCAGAATCCTGCCGCTCTGGCTGCCTCTGATGCCCTGGGCTGGAATGCCCTGGATGGACGTGATGTTCCGCACAGAAGCCTGGGAAGATGGGAAGCACATGTTGGCTGAGGAATCGCTGACAGGAGGCAGCCAGAAGGCAGGAGGAGCAGGGGTGGAGTTCTGGCTTCGGTTCTGCTGAAGAGAGAAAGGTTTCCATTAGAGTAGCC